TTTACAAATGGCGGGAAAGATACTGGGAATTTTAGGGGTTTTTTTTATACTGATAAATGGCGGCGATCAGCGAATTATGGCGGCGATCAGGGACTTATGGCAGCGACCAGCGACTTATGGCGGGACTGCGGCGGACATTTTGACATTGGGGGGTACTGACTTGGGTCACTGACATCCCCAAAAAACACTAATACAGTGATCAGTGCAAAAAAAAAAAAACTGACACTGTACTAATGGCAATGCGGGAGGAAGGGGTTAACTTTATTTAGCAGGGAAAGGGTTATAGGAGTGAGGGGGGTGTGTTTTACTATGGGGGGGCGGGGTGTGTGCTGGGCGGGACAAGGCTGATTGTGAATGAGAAAGAAAAACTGTTCTCTCCTCGATCAGCTCATCCTCGAGCTGTCAGGGAAAGTGACAGACCAGTCACAGCTACTGCAGCTGTGCTCTCTGTCACTGTTTGGCCGCCGATCGGCGGGACATAGCTGCTAAGGAGCGGCTGTGACCCGTGCGACTCACATCTGCGGCAGAGTAAACCGCGGGTACAAATAGGGTGGCGGCTTGCCTCGCGTCGTGCCCCCTATTTGTTTACAACTACACACGTCTTAAAACCAGTGGTTTTGCCTGTGAGTGCCGCCATGCCACTGAGTTATGTAAGTAGGCTGGGCGTTCATGTGGTTAATCACCACAGTTTTTTATTTTCATTTTTTTTTTAATAAATCACCCCTTTTTTTTCCCCCCCCCCTCCCCCCCCCCCCCCCCCCCCCCCCCGCCTCCCCCTCCCCTTTTCATCCCCCCCCCCCCCCTCCCCCCCCCCACCCCCCCCATTTTTTTAATATAAGTTCAGTGTTTATTATTTAGTCTGTAGGACAGTTAGAGTCTAAAAAACTATGGTATACACAACTGATAATTGCCAAAAGCATTGCGACGCCTGCCTTTACACAAATTAATTTTAACTGCATCCAAGTCTTTTTCCGTCGGGTTCAATATTGAGTTGGCTCACCCTTTGCAGCTATATAACAGCTTCAATTCTTCTGGGAAGGCTGTGTTCCACAAGGGTTTAGAAGTTGTGCCTATGGGAGTGTTTGACCATTCTTCCAGAATCACATTTGTGAAGTCAGGCACTGATGTGAGACGAGAAGGAATGGCTCACAGACTCCACTCTAATTCATCCCAAGTAAGGTGTTCTATCAGGTTGAGATCAGGACTTTGTGCAGGCCAGGCAAGTTCCTTCACCCCAAAACTCGCTCATCCATGTGTCTTTATGGACCTTGCTTTGTGCACTGGTGCACAGTAATGTTGGAACAGGATGGGGCCATCTCCAAACTGTTTTTGGTATGCTGATGCCTTACGAGTTCCCTTCACTGGAACTAAGGGGCCAAGCCCAACCCCTGAAAAACAACCCCACACCATAATCCCTCCTCCACCAAACTTTATATTTGGCACAATGCATGTCAGGCAAGTACCATTCTTCTGGCAACCGCCAAACCCAGACATGTCCATCGGATTGCCAGATGAAGAAGCGTGAGGCGTTTACTCCAGAGAACATATTTTTAACTGCTCTTAGAGTCCAGTGGCAGTGTGCAGGCCTGGAGTGGCCTTATGACACACCGGACATTCACCCGGTGGGCTGGGACCACCTGGATAGGAGGAGCAGATCCAGGGGGTGGCACATAGACGAACCGGACCACCGTGCATTTCTCGGTTCCTCTATGTGCTACTCTTATCCATCCCCTTCCTTCCCATGGGGCTTCTGTATACTCACCCTGCAGCCGCCCCCCTTCATCTCCTGAAGCATTGCCGCCTGGTTCCAACCCCTCCTTGCAGCTGCTGTGGAGCATCTGTCAGCTCTTCATGGCTCAGTATCTAGCCTACTCAGTGCATCCATGTGAGAGCTAAGAAACTCATTGGACTATTTATACACAGACACTAATTGCAATTTAAAAAGTTGCAAACAGTATGTGAGAAATGAACCTTTAATTGTCATTTTAACCTCTGTGTGTCACCTTTTGTGTCATTGCACCAAGACCAAACATTCCAGGGTATTCAGACTTTTGATCAGGGCCATTTGGGTGATTTCTGTTATCATTATGAGTTAAAAAGGAGCCAACTATGTAATAATAAATGGCTTCATATGATCACTATTAGAGATGAGCGAATCGAACTTGGCGAAGTGGGAATTCGTTTTGAATATTAGGAAAAATTCGATTCGCACCGAATCTGAAAATTAGCAAACTTCGGATGCACGAATCAAATTTTTCCCGATCGGACCGATATTTTTCATCCCTTCTACAGCCGGCAAAAAGTGGTCCCTGCAGAGAGCTCCGCTAATTTCTGACAGTTCTCTGACAGTTCCCTTCACATTTACAGCGGGTTGAAACATTGTATCTATTTGTTTCCATTTAGGATACAGATGTTTTTATTCGGAAACAAAATAGATACAATGTTTCAACCGCTGTAAATGTGAAGGAACTGTCAGAGAACTGTCAGAGAAATAGCGGAGCTCTCTGCAGAGATACACTTTTTGCTGTACTGGAATTCTTCTTCTTTTCATTCTTCTTCTTTTCATTCTTCTTCTTTCTTTTCATTCTTCTTCTTCTTCTTTTCATTCTTCTTTTCATTCTTCTTCTTCTTCTTTTCATTCTTCTTCTTCTTCTTTTCATTCTTCTTCTTCTTCTTTTCATTCTTCTTCTTCTTCTTCGTCGTGCCCCGTGACTGCCCAAATGAGTGAAGTGTGCGGATGATTCTAAGATCGACGGCACTCATCTGCATGTTCATACTGACTGACAGTATTATTTCTCTTCACCCAGCAGACTCAAGGGCATTTAAATTAAAGGTACAGTGTTCTGCAAACTAATATAAAGGCTCTCTGAAGCCTAGAAACCCTTTTAATAAGTTAAATTCGCAGTGAATAAATTCGCATCGAATCGAATTTATTCTGCAAATTCGGCGAATCAGCCGAATCAAATTTTTGAATAATTCGCGCTCATCTCTAATCACTATCCTTAAATAAGACAGTTTTTGGCATGACCAGTGTCATATTTTCAACACCAATGCCATAATTTCATGATTTATGCCAGGGTATGCAACCTTTTGAGCACAACTGTAGGTAAAGATAGAAAATGTATAGAAACACTTGTCCACACATGTCCCCCTGCTATTTCTTTGTCAGATTGCTATTAGTAGACAAAGATACACACTGGTCCTGCCAAAAATACAGGCTACACCAAATGCCCTTTTGAAATGCCGACAATGCTAGAATGAAATTGTAGTCAGCTCTTTATGTGGAATCCACAGCTGGATCAAAAGACAACATATTGACATTACCTGCGTCAGCACAGTACTTTTTTTTTTCCTATCTTGCTATCCCCATTGCTCATGAAAAAGTTTAGTTCTGTGGTTACCTGCATATCAAGGCAGCACAGGAAGTGCCTGGTAACTGCGGGCAAAATCAATGAGTTGAAAAACTTTGCACTGATGACGTGTTGAAAATATGCAGGAGAATGCCATAAAGCTGTATTGGCACTTTTCTGGTGGTAGTCTCCTTTAGAACTACACATTTTTCACAAAAGTGACAAATTGAGGTAAATTCTGACTCTTGCCACTGTAAGAACATGACACTATTACAATTTATAGATTAAAAACTGGAGGTGATTAAGACCAGCACTGAACTCGCATATAGATGGGGCATGTCTGTGCTGGAAAACTATCATGAATATGACAGCTTCCCACAAATTACTGTATCCCAAGCCCCATTCAGCTGTCTACCAGGAGATTTCCTGGGCAAAAGCTAAATGTAAACAAAGGGGCAGGGATATTGGTGATGTTTTTAATAGTTCAAATGTCTTTGATGGTTCAAAAGACCATATTGGGCTAAATAGCAGCTATGAATCCATGCACCATCATCAACATCCAGGTGGACCATATGGGGAACTAGTTTTTCCGTTTCCCACCTCCAAAACAAAGCTCCTCAGCCATGTGCCTGTTAGTATAACACAGTGGCTGGGAATGGAGTACATTACAGAAGGCGTGACCAGTAACTAGACAGATCAATCTCAGTGACTGTCATCAACAGATTCATGTAACTGTGTTAGGTACATGAATTATCCACAATCACTGACAATTTAAGTTCTGTTGCATGTTAAAACTGCTATGAGATTTTAGTGATTAAAGGATACATTCACATTTCGTAACATGTTACACGTGTATTCAGGCTGTAACATGTAACATCTTTCGATCAGACCAGCACTCACCCCTCCCCCCATCCCCATTCTGACAGCTAGTGGGGGATCACAATTTAAAAAAAATTGTGGCCATGCAGGGCTCCACCCACCCAATCGCATCACTCATTCATAGTATTCTGTGAATGGGAAAACTATAAGTTAGGCAGCCTGTTATGGGATGTATGAGCAAGCAGATATACTGACAGGTCAGGGGGAGACCTGCATGGCACCAGCAATCTGCTGATCTCTGATGCAACGTTTTCAAGGCTCCACGAAAACAAAAAATAAGAAATGCACATTTCTTTTACCTGCAAAAAAATGTCCACCTATTATTTTTTGTTAAAAAGGTGAACTTACCCTTTAAGGTTACATCTATTTTAAGCTGTCTGTAGCTAAAAAAAAAAAAAATTTTTAAACCACTAGCCCTACTGGGCACTTATACCCCTGTCCTGCCCATGACAATTTCCAGCTTTTAGCTCTGTCACACTTTTGAATGACAATTGCGCGGTCATGCAACACTGTGCCCATATGAAAATTTTTATCATTTTTTTTGTGACAGATAGAGCTTTCTTTTGGTGGTATTTAATCACCTCCGGGTTTTTTATTTTTTCTTAAACCAAAAACCACTGAAAATTTTGAAATAAAAACGTTTTTTCTTAGTTTTGTTATAAAATGTTGTAAATAAGTGATTTTTCTCCTTCACTGATGTGCGCTGAGGCTGCAGTGATGGGCACTGATAGGTGACACTGATGGGCACTAATGAGGAAGCACTGGTAGGCATCACTGATGGGAATTGACAGGCATCACTGATGGGCACTGAAAGGCATCACTGATACATGCCACTGTTAGGCGGCACTGATAGGCGGCACTGACTGGCACTGATGGATGACACTGAAAGGCAGCTCAGATGGGCACTGATATGTGGCATTGATGTGGCACTGAGCGACACTGGCACGTGGCACTGATCGGCACTGATGGACTTTGACAGGTGGCACTGCTGGGGCTACACTGATCATCAGTGCCCATGTCCCCTCCGCGGAAAGTCGATTACCGGCTGTGACTCGCTGATTCGCTGTGTCCGAGGGACACAGTGCACCGCCGATCGCCACGCTGCGCACTCCCTGAGCCGCGCATGCGCGCTGAGAATGGAAGGACGTCATATCAGAACGAGAGAACCACCTTGTGCCCGTCATTGGACTATATGGCGGGTGGGAGGTGGTTAAAAGCGTTAATGTCTGTGTTTTTGTCTGCCTGTTTACAATAAAGGAGACAGCTTTAGCTTAACCAACAGTGCAATGTTCTTTGTGACCTTGAAATCATTACACAGTAACCTGAAAGTGAAAATAACTTAACCAGTTGTGGATACTGGACATACTACACACACCCAAAAATCTTCATCAAAAGTACACAGGATGTGTGTAGTATGTGTCCTTCCTCTCTGCCCCTTTGCTGCTCCCCTCCTTTACACTTGTCAGCAATTCCTGATTCCTGGCAATCAGGAAAAGTACCATCTGGCACAGTGTTTTGTTAACACTGTTGGAATGTCAGAGAGAGAGAGAAATGCAAGCTAACATTAGTTTTGTATATACTCTGTTTTATTAATCTACAGAGGAAAGGGATGATCTTTGATCTGTATATATCAGTTAAAGCAACCTGAAAGTAATAAAATGTGTTCCTTTTTAATCCCTTATTAGCCATTAGCTCACACAAATCAGCCATAATTAACTCCTTCTTTCCCTTCTCCCTTTTCTATTCCCCTGCTGATTTTTGTATGTCCTTGCTTTCCTAACCATTAATATTTAATTTTAATTAATTTTGTTTGTTCATTTTTTTTGGAATGCATTAGAAAAAAAAAAAATATTGAAAAAATGCATTTACTTGTAAATTACTTTACAATGTTTTGTACCATAATCATACTTTTAGTGTCATTTTAAATAATTCCAGACTAGATATACTGCTACAGTGCAGCCTGCTGTGCTTGATCACATATATGTTTGTGATCCAGCAGTTCTGGGTAGGTTGTGCATGTACCGCCCCACCTCTCCTGTCTCCTCTGCTACTGCACAAGCCAATCAGCGGGTCCCCGCAAACGATTTATGGCCAGGACCTGCTGATCAGCTGAACGAATGACAAAACAGAGCTCTGTGTTAACAAACATCACAGAGCTCTGTACAGACAGCAGTGATGTGTCTGTGTTTTTTATTTCCTGTAAAGCAGGAATTAAAAAAAGGCACATTGCTTAGTAAAAGCAGCACATATTACACAATACACATTGTTAGGCACAGTTAACCTTTTGATTGTCCCTAGATGTTAACCCCTTCCCAGCTAGTATCATTAGTACAGTAACACAATGCATGGTAAGGCCTTGCAACACAGATCTGGAAAAAGGGAATGGCAAGGTATGTGTGCCCTTTCTCTGTGCTCTTTCTAGAGGTTTCTAGCTAGTGTTCTCACCTGGATCAGCAGTTTTACATCAGGCAGATAGCAAAGCAAGCTCCCCTCCCTCCCTTGTTGCACTTGAACTTGATTTGTAACCCCCTTTTTAATGTTTTTTTTTATTATGTTTTATGAAATTATGTTATTTAATGCTTCAGTTTATTGACTGAGTAATATAAGTATTTAAATATTTAAGGTGGTCTAACAAAGCTTGTCCTTATTTAAGCTTGCTTTGATGTTTAACCACTTGCCCCCATGAGGATTTACCCCCTTTCCTGACTAGGCGTTGTTTATGCGTTACTGCTCTGCTTTAATTTAACTGACAATTGCATGGTCAAAAAAAAAAAAAAAAAAAAAAAAAGAAGAAGAGACCGTCGGTTTTGATACAAGAAACAATATTTTTGACTTTTTGCTATTAAACATGTCCAGGAAAAAAATAAAAAAAAATAAAAATTTCGTAATAAATTTAGGCCAAAATGTATTCTGCTACATGTTTTTGCTAAAAAAAAATCCAAATACATGTACATTAATTGATTTACGTGAAATTTATTGTATTTACAAATTGGCTGTATATATATTAGAATATTTTTACACACACATATACATACATACATACACACACACAATTTTGCACACCTGTGCTGCCCTACTTCTGCTATAGGGCAGACGGGAAGCGGTTAAATCATGTTAAAACCAATAAAGGGCTGTGGCCATTTTTAATGCTAAAGGTTATTGTCCTTTGTTTTATTTTATGAACTTAAAAATGTTTTTATTGCTGGCTTGGAAGTGTCATCTTCAATCCCGTGACATTGCAACACATGCATGCTCTACATACATGCCATTCTGTTTATCCAGAATTTTTAGTGTTAACATGTGGTCACACTGCTTTAGCACCTGAAGTGGAGTTTGAGCACAGATATAGCTTATTTCTATTGCATTGCATTGCATTGCAGGCCAGCGACCAGACCTGAACCCTGTAGCTCTACTACAATTTGCATCTATTTGCCCCATCTTGGCATTATAGCCACTGGAGCATTGCATTTTGCAGAGCAAAGCAGGGAGTGGCCAGAGAGGGATTACTTTAATGTAGTTGGCCTACTTAACTATTTGGCGACTGACCTACAGTGAAGGAAATAAATATTTGATCCCCTGCTGATTTTGAAGGTTTGTCCACTCACAAAGAAATGATCAGTCAAAAAACTGAATGGTAGGTGTATTGTAACACTGAGAGACAGAATAGCAGCAAAAAAATCAAAAGAAATGCATGTCTAAAAAATGACATACTGATTTGCATGTTCATGAGGGAAATAAGTATTTGATCCCCTATCATTCAGCAGGATTTCTGGCTACTAGGTGTCTTTCATAAAGGTACCAAGCTAAGATTAGAAGCAGTCTCTTAAAGGGAGTTCTGCTAATCTCATTTTATTACCTGTATAAAAGACACCTGTCCACAGGAGCAATCAAACAATCAGATTCCAAATTCTCCACCGTGGCAAACACCAGAGAGCTGTCCAAGGATGTCAGGGACAAGATCGTAGACCTACACAAGGCTGGACTGGGCTACCAAACTATCGCCAAGCAGCTTGGTGAGAAGGTAACAACAGTTGGTGCAATCATTCGCAAATGGAACAAACAAAATGACTGTCAGTCTCCCTAGGTCTGGTGCACCATGCAAGATCTCAGCTCTTGGAGTGTCAATGATCATGAGAACAGTGAGGAATCATCCAAGAACTACACGTGAGGATCTTGTCAATGATCTCCAGGCAGCTGGGACTACACTCACCAAGAAAAGAATTGGTAACACACTACACCGCCAAGGATTGAAATCCTGCAGTGCCTGCAAGGTCCCTCTGCTCAAGAAAGCACATGTCCAAGCCCATCTGATGTTTGCCACTGAACATCTGAGTGATGCAGAGGAGGACTGGTTGAAAGTGTTGTGGTCAGATGAGACCAAAATTGAGCTCTTTGCCATCAACTCAACTCGCCATGTTTGGAGGAGGAGGAGGCATGCTGCCTATGACCCCAAGAACACCATCCCAACTGTCAAATATGGTGGTGGAAACCACCTGCTTTGGGGTTGTTTTTCTGCTAAGGGGACAAAACAACTGCACCGCATCAAAAGGAACGATGGATGGGGCAATGTACTGTCAAATCATGGGTAAGAACCTTCTTCCCTCAGCCAGGGCAGTGAAAATGGGTCATGGATGGGTGTTCCCGCATGACAATGATCCAAAACACAGGGCCAAGGCAACAAAGGAGTGGTTCAAGAAGAAGCACATTAAGGTCCTGGAGTGGCTTAGCTAGTCTCCAGACCTTAATCCGATTGAAAATCTGTGGAGGGAGCTGAAATTTCGAGTTGCCAAATGTCAGCCACCAAACCTTAATGACTTGGAGAGGATCAACAAGAGGAGTGGACCAAAATCCTTCCTGAGATGTGAGCAGACCTGGTGGCCAACTACAAGAAACGTCTGACCTCTGTGATTGCCAACAAAGGATTTGCCACCAAGTACTAAGTCATGTTTTCTGAAGGGGATCAAATACATTTTCCTCATGAACATGCAAATCAGTGCATAATTTGTTAGACATGCATTTATTTTGAATTTTTTCTTGTTATTCTGTCTCTATGTTACAATACACCTTCCATTCAATTTTTAGACTGATCATTTCTTTGTGAGTGGGCAAACAATCAAAATCAGTAGAGGATCAAATACTTATTTCCTTCACTGTATGTAGATATACTGTGGGTCAGGGGCTCTTCTGCACCAGATCATGTAAATGTACATTTAGCTCTGCAATATGTTTATAGCACTTTAGGATCTTGGTATATTGGCATCTATTGCACGCAGCTTTATTTACTTATTGATTTATTTTATTTTTCAGATTAGTGCTGACCTTATTTTGCTTTTTCTATTATGTACATGTACTGTACGTGATCTGCCATTCCAGGTAAGGGGCTCAGGTGTGAGAGCCCACCTCCCTGGCTGTGTTGTCATTTGCTACAGCAAAAGCCGATCAGCAGGTTTCAGCCAATTACTTATGGTCGGTACCTGCTGATCGGCTGAGTGAATGGTAAACAACACACAGCTCTCTACAGTCAGCAGCAAGGTTCCAGTTTTTTCTTCTTGCAAAGCAGGGAGTAAAATTAGGCACATCAGTTAGTAAAATCAGTACAGTTTACAAACAGTAAACATTGTTAGGCACACAGTTAACCATTTGATTGCCCCTAGATGTTAACCCCTTTCCAACTAGTTTCATTAGTGCAGTGACAGTGTGTAGTATTAGTGCTGATCACTGTATTAGTGGCACTGGTGATGTCAGTGTCAGAGTCAGTTCCCAAAAAGTGTCAGTTAGTGTCAGTTTGCCCTTCACACTATCACAATCCCACTATACATCGCTGATCACCACTATTACTAGTATAAAAAATTCCAATATGTATCCCATAGTTTGCAAACACTATTTTAAAAATTTTTTTTGGGGGAAAACCTTTAAAAAAAAAAGGGAAATTTTTTCCCCCCCTTTTTTTTTGGGGGGGGGGAAAAAAAAAAAACCTTTCCCAAATTTTTAAAAAAAATTTTAAAAAAAAAAGGGGGGGGGGTTTTTTTAAAAATTTTTTTTTTTAAAAAAAACCCCTTTTTTTTTAATTTTTGGGGGTTTTTTTAAAAAATTTTAAAAGGGGGCCCCCCCAAAAAAAAAAAAAAAATTTTAATTTCCCTTTTTTTAAAAACTTTT